CGAACAAGCCATCAGCTCAGCTCCGCCAGCGCAGGCAGGAGGGGCAGTGGCAGGAGGCGAGATGAAGCTGTGGCACTCAGCTCCCTGCGCCTCCAAGTTTGCCCTCAGACCAGCTGTTCAATCCTTTCCCTGCAATCCCTTCCCTTACTGGGAAGTCTCCCGATACTTAAAGGGAAAAAAATGTGTGCACACGTTGCATAACTCGTATCAGAGAGTGGTAGAACATGCTTAAAGGGTCAGGGTGGGAGAGCTGCAGCTTTCTGCTCCCCAGCAAGGAACCACTTTGATGAGCTAACACTGTGTCATGAAGCAGGATCGTCCAGTCCAGGACAGTAACTGAAGTCTCGCAGCAAGCGTTTTTTTCTAGGGCTTTTTAAATTCTGCTTCATCCGGGGGCAATTTCCAGCAAGAAAAAAAAGATGCCTTTTTGTCCCAACTCATGAGCTCAACCCCAGCCCCACGCTGCAGACCACTACTAAAGCTTGGCAAAGCCAAAAAATGGTGGAAAACTTAAAATTGGTTCTCCTGATCTGCCTTTCCAAAGCTGCTGAACTTGGTGGCAAGATTTCGTGCCAGGGAGGCGAACTGAACGGTCCCTGCCAGCTCCTGTGTTTTTCTCTGCGTCAGAACAAAATTGCTGCTTCCTCACCTGAGCTACGACTGAAAAGCGCTGTGAGGAGCAAAAACCTCAGGGGAAGTGAGAGGTGGCCGTGCTGCATCCCTCTTACCTGCCACAGCCGCTGCCGACAGGTCATGCTGCACCAGAGTCAGCCGGATCCGGGCCAACACACACTCCCTCTCCAAATCCTCCAGCTCCAGGATTTCGATTTGGCACGTTGCTGTAACAGATGGACACGAAGGGCTCTCAGCGTTTTAAAAAAGGCTCCTCGGGCGCGGTGCAAAATGTCTACACCCCTCTGCCATCCTAAGAGGAGTCGCACCACAGAAAGCACCGAAGGAGGGGTCAGGTTTTGCTGCCCCTTCCTCGCTACCTTGAACTGTGCCTCTCTCCTTGATGCAAACCTCCCATTCCTCCCCTATCAGAGACGTTATCTAGTGTTTGGTAACAGCTGCTGCTCTGACTGCCAGGCATACGCTACAAGGCAGCTCAGTCCGAAATAATTGTTTCAAAAATACCCGACCTTAAATTTTTCTACCGTGATGCTGAAGATTACGAGTCTAACCTGGCCCCACCATCCTGTGCTCTGGCAGACACGGGCAGAGCGGAGACCTTACCAGCAGAGACCCACTATGTCAGCAGGGCTTCCAAGAGCACAAACAACAGAAGTCTTGAACAACTAGAAATTGCCTCACAAAGGCCTTTTTTTTTTTTTTAAATTACAAGTTATTTCCACTGAAAGCAAAAGTGCTGACAAGACATCGAACTGCAGAGGAGCGTGCACAGAAGCTCCTTGGGGAATAGCTGTCACATGGCAGCATATTGCAACTGGGCGACACTAACACCGGGAGAGTTAACTAGCTCACAGCCCCCCAAATTATTGATCTGACGGAGGCGAGAGCGGCCCTGAGCCATCTCCCAGCTCACACGGGAGCAGCAGAGCTCTGAGGCCGGGGGGAAGGCTGCTCTCTGGCAAGAGTCAGGGGAAGCACCAGGAACTGGGCACTTACATGGAACAGCCGTGCACTCCCCGTCGTGGCTTCTCTTCGGGGATGCTCCAGGGCGTTCGTACTTGCAGGAAAAAGCAGAAAGAGGGTTTATGCCCACCTGGGTTTCCAGAGGACAAATTGCCTCGATACGATACAGCCCCAACACCAGCTCTCCACTTCAAGCCTTGACTTGAATCAGAAAAGCCATACAACGACTTGGCAGTTCAGGTTACGTTTGTCTCTGGGTATCAGAAACGCGGCACGGCGTTAGCTGATCAGGCTACGGTCACCACCTCCCCGCAAACAGATTTGAAACACAAACCACGTTACAGTAATTCTCTTTTCGACTGGTATTCCGGCTGTTCAGACTCCCCCAAAAGATTTGCTCCGTCTTCAACAAAAGGTGATACATTCCCACACATACGCACCAGCCCCCTCCCAAAAGCTGTCCTGCTTCCACCCTGCTCCAAAAAGGGGCAACAAAAGGGTGACGGATGGGACTGATGTCTCCGTTGAGCGGGGCAAGACAGTGCTGCACAAGCTGGCCAAGAAGATGAGAGCAGCGGATTAAGAAGGCCAACGCCTCCGTTCATCACATCGGAAAGGATTTTGGGAGCTCCTTCCCAAACGTACGGCTGTAAGCGTCCCCACAGTCAATAGCTCAGGTCGGAGGCTTCATAGCAAGCTCAGCGTTGCCTACCACAGCTCCAGAAGCTGGCTGCACTATCCAGGCGTACTCCGGGCGGATCAACCGTAAGCAGTTAATAGCAGCGAGGAAACAGTTTCCCTGTTTCTGGAGCCCTCGGAGCGTCCGCACCTCCCTGCCCAGGCGCATGCCGTATTCAAACATCACCGTTCCAGCTGAGGAGAGAAGGGGAATACGTCAGCCCCACCGCCCTTCCCCACCGGTGGCACAAGACCCAGGACAGGCCACCCCGCAGGGGCAGGGCAAGCGCTGTCGCAGGCAGGCGGGCTGTTAGGCCAGAACGTGCCCACCCCGAGCCTTACCCTTGCGGTAGTTGTGGCGGTAAATGTGGAAAGCGTACAGGAGCTCGTAGTAATTGTGGGTCATCAGGTCCACCGCTCGAGCGTGAGATTCGATGATCCCCACGACCTGCGGCACACAGAGGCTCGAATGGGTCGACAATCCCTTTAAAGAGAGCGTTTGTGCCCCCCCTTTCCTCCCAGCGCAGGCCGATTACCTCGTTATGGAGGTTCACGTAGGGGAACTCCACCAGGTCCTGGAGCTGGGAGCGCTCACAGAGAACCACCACTAGCTGGCGCAGACAGTCCAGCTGCCTGCGGAGAGAGAAGCACAACCGTTCTGGAGGAGCGGGAACAAACCCGTCTCCACGATGCAGCCATGTGCGTGCCGCTTTGTGACAAGCTCCGTAGGTTTTTTTCTGGCTTAGAACCAAGAAGTCCCTTCAGACTTCTCCGGCGCTGGAAACAGAGATCCTGGACAGCAGAGATCCTCTGCAAAGGTCTCTCGGGAGGGCAGTCTCCCTCCCTCAGCTCTATTCGGTAAGATTTTCTTCAGCCTCGATTAAAATGCATTCCTACTTCTCCTCTGAACGTCTATCCTGCTCATCCCCTCCTCCTCTGCTAGGGTGAAGCTTCCTCTACCCAGTTCGCTTCCCAGGTGGCACTCATGCTGAAAATTCAACTCCAAGTCTTTTCTTTATTAAACTAAATTGGCTGGACTCCTAAAGGTTTTCAACACACAACGCTGCATGTGATCCTGTAGCCATTTGTTTGGCTCTTCCCTGAATCAACTTCACACACCCCCCTCCCCAGTTTCCTCCTTTTGAGATAGTCCCGATCCCAGCTGTTCTTACAAAAATGAAGTATGCCTTTTTAAACACACCTTTACACATGCTCAACAGTTCCTCTTAAGACAGCAGCCACGTCCTACCCTAAAGCGTCACATCTTCCTTTCAGCTTGGTGGAAAAATTGGTACCTGGACCTCCGAGACAAGTGAGTATAAAGGCATAAAACTGTCACCTACCTGCTTGGATCTGGGTTTTGCGTTAAGGCTACATATGCTTCACTGTTGTGTCCCAAATCCAAGTGATGTTTGAAGATGCAAGTCCTCAAAGTAGCCTGAAAACATCAAAGAGCACAAACCAGCACGTTTCGAGTTATACAACTAAAAAGCAAGTCCCGTGTAAGCTCCCTGAAGAATCATAGAATCATTAAGGTTGGAAGAGACCTCTAAGGTCATCGAGTCCAACCGTCAACCCGACACCACCATGCCCACTAAACCATGTCCCTCAGCGCCTCATCTACCCGTCTTTTAAATACTTCCAGGGATGGTGACTCAACCACTGCCCTGGGCAGCCTGGTCCAATCTTTAACCACTCTTTCAGCACTGAAAAAATGTCTTTAAAGTTTCTTTAAAGAAACATCTTGATGCAAAAGAGGTGACCCGTACCTGGCTTCTCCAGTCATCCGCCGATTCCATGACAGCCAGGGTAGCCAGCTGGATGACCAGCTCCGGTAAACCAACCATGTCCAACAAGCGCAGAACCTGGAGAAGACAATACTCTAGCGCTGGCTGCAGCAGTACTGAAGAACAGGTCGGGCTGGCGAGGGGGGGGGGGTTGTTTGTTTTTTAAGAGCTACTCCTGCCCCTACTAACCATAAGAGCTGTCAAAAGACTTTGCCAATGTTTCTAAGCGATTACACTGAAAAAGGAAAGATTTTGGTAAATCGCCGAGTTCTGAATCAAATCCCAGCACAACAGGTCCAGGCTACAGCTTTTCTGGAGGATTCATCTCTGCACGTGTGAGTTTTCTGAAACATTTTAGCGTTGACGGTTACAGTAAACCCCTGCGACAGAGAGGTAAACGATTCTGTTCCCAAGCGCGCACGCAGCCGTATTGGAGAGAGAAGTTCCCTCTCCAAGGGCACCTGACAATCCTTGTGTTTTCTGGGTTTTAAAATCGGGAACTCCTTACAATGAGCCTAGGTCCAAGCTTGCAGCCTGTCTGAACTACGGTATCATGCAAGAAGAAAGATGCTATCTCAATTTAAAGACATTAATTTTAATTTGCCTCAAAGCTTAATAACCTTCCCCTTAAGCAGCATCTTACATCTAGCCTGGACATGTCTGGCTTCTGCCTCCAGCAGCTAGATCCCACCCTGCCTTTTTCTGCTGGATAACAAAAGTCCTCTGCTATTCGGAAACTAATAGGTGGAAAGTACCTAGTTTTCACACTGTAGTCACCTCACCATCACCCCCAAAGAAAGTAAACAGACTACGCTGAGGTTTCACTTCCCAAAAAAGTATGTTTTCCGAGTCTCGAGCCACTTCCCCGAAAGCCAGGGACCAAGCAGGAATTCTCTCTCCGAGCAGCGTCTGTGTGGAACGACTTGGTGCCCATTTACTCGGTCAGGACCCTGTATGCTGGGCTGGCTCAGCCGTACCTTGTTGTAGTACTGCAGGCGTGGAGTGGAGACCATCTCCCCCTCCTCGGGCTGGATCAGCCTGTCCAAGAACTCTTCCCTTCCCACCTCTGACGCAGCTTGGCAGAAACAGTCCAAAGCCTAGAAGCAGACCAGAAAGCAGCTTGCGTGTGCCCCTTGGGGTACTGATCCAGCCTGCTGTACCGGTGAGAGGACAGTGCTGCCCATTACCAGCTCCGGTGTACGAGACCTGCTGGCCCCAAGCTAAGGAGAACTTCCCCAAGAGCAGATCCCACCGCCCCCCTCCAGTCCCATCCTTTGCCCAAAGGAGGCAGAGCTCGAGACGGATGTTTCCTGACTCGCGCAGCAGAAACAAGGCTGGCCCTACTTGTGCACCTCCTCCCTCCCAAGGAAAAAGGTCCCAGACCCCAGAGGGAGGCAACGCCGGAAGGAGACGAGGGCCTTACCTTGTGCCCCTCACCCATGACAAGGTAGCACCTGCCCATCATGAAGCAGCAGGAGCCCATGTTCACGTGGCACCACGGCTGCAGCAGGCGAATGTATTCCTACAGGAGAGGAGGAACGGGAGTTTCGATTCAGGTCAGCACTCGCTGGTGACCCGCAGGCACCCAGTACCAGAGGAAGGGTTAGCTCTCTAACACCAAACTGCTATTTTGGTGGCCCCTTTAGCTGCAGTGCTCACACAAATTTCCCCACCAGACCCCGCGCTTCCAGCTCGAGGGCGGGGCTTGCCAGCCCCGAAGCCCCCTGGGTGCACAGGTGGGGAGACATCCCCCACGTGCTCCCGGGAAACGACCCGCTTTGAATAGCTCCAGCGTCTGTACGAAGCACGTCAGAAACAGCACCCAACGTCCCCAAAAATCAGACACGAGGCCCTCTACAACCGCTGCAAACCTGCTGCTGGGAACTGCAGAGGAAGCATTACCCTGGCGTGCACAGAGCCTGAACGGGAGCGCACATGTGAGAAGGCAGCGGGAGAACAGGCAAAGCAGGCATTAGAAGAGCAGTACCCGTGCAGCAGCGCAGGAGGGGCAGAGCAGCCAGGGAAGGCCACGGATTGCAGCAACAAACTGACAGGCACGGGGTGGAGCGCCGACAGCACCAAGGACACACCGCAAATAAAGCCACAACACGGACGCTGGCCAGGGCGATACGACTCAACCTGGCCCTGTGCCTGCTCTGTCAGGATAATATAAGGGCTGCAAAGTGTCATCACCTATCAAGAAGCAGCTAGGAGGCACGATGAAAACTCAAAAGCTGGCATCCCTCGTGCTTGGGAGAGTGGCGTATGCTCTTCATACTTGGAGAAGCAGAGATGTCCCACGAGCCGGGCTCCGGG